TCCTCTTCATTTCGTATCACATTAAAATCCCCACCTACCACCCAAGGCAAGTGATTTCCTTCAACAACATTCTCCAAATCTTCCCATAATTCAAGTCTTTCTATTGCACTGCACCTAGCATAAACTGTTGTCATTATTATCTGCTTTTGACTGCCAGTGTGAGTGAATCTCACAGTAATTTGTTGGATAGTGTCTGATATGATGTGTCCCTCCCACTCTTCATGCCAGAATATCCATATTTTTGAAGAACAGTTAACTAGGGCATTTCTTAGTCCTATTCTCCTTCTGTAACTCTCTACTTCTGATGGATTTTGAAATGGCTCAAAGAGAGCAATATATGAAAAGTGATGTCTTTTGTTAAGATCTAGCAATCTCTCAAAAGCATTTTGAGTATTCACTGATCTTATATTCCAATATATGATGTTGTCTATCATAGATCACTAGATGTTTGTCTCTCCCTACTACTCCTTGTTTGCACCTGTAAAGGTACTGTAATCCCTGGTTTTGCTCTTCTTAGTCCACTTCTCAGTCTGTCCAGCTGTCTGGGTGACAAATCACCCTCTTTGCCAATGCTTTTAATGTTTTCCTCCATTTCTTCATCCTCCTCCTTGTTCCTTATAACACTAATTTCCTCTGTATTTAGATCTTCTGGCATCTCATTTGTATCTGCTACTGATTGAACTTCTTTGAAAGGAGTTGAAATCCATGCCACTGGTTCACCAGTTGGATTTATGCTTATACCCCCCTGCACTTTCACCAACTCTTCATGTGATATTTTATTAGTACTCTGAACACTCTTCCCTGTTTCTTGTTCATTGTTTTTGCTCCATTGCTCCCCACTGCTTTTTTCCCCACTTCTCCTTACTAATGATCTAACTTGTTCATGGTTGTTTTGATTTGAATCTTTCTTGTTGTTGTCTGTTTGTGATTGTTCTGATTGCATCTCTCTCTGCTTCTCAACTCCTTCCCCTTTATCTTTTTCCTACCTGACATTTTCTCGTCCTTCTTCCACCTCTAGTGCAGTAAATTTGTTCACAGTAGTCACAACACCTTCCTCTTGTGGCCTAATTTTTTTGTTCCACTGTTGTGTCATCCCTGTCCTTTTTTGTTGTACTCCCCTACCAAATCCATTTTTCAACCTATGCTCCTTGAATATCTGTTCATCATCATTCTACTGGCCCTTGATGTCTGTTCCTTTTCCTTTATCATCTTCCCTTCCTCCCTCAAGCACTTTGTCTTTATTATCTTTGTCCTCCTTGGGATATAATTCTGGATGCAAAATATAACAAGCCTTTTCATCATGGCCTTGCAATTTGCAAGTTGTACAATATTTAGGAACATAATCATATTTTATTCTAATCCATTTCTCAACTACTTCTCCTGTACTTTGTTTTCTTACCCCTGTCTTGATCCTTTTAGGAAAATCACTTAATAAATCCACTTCCACCTTTACTCTTGCACAACTGGGTCTTGATTGGTTCTTCGTGGCCATATCTACTTGCAGAGGCTTACCCACGACTGATGCCAATGAAAAAACAACTTCTTTGACAAAAAAATTCGGGGGTAACTCTGGGAAAGAGATCCAACCTATGGCTGTTGTAGTTTCTTCCTCCGGATCAAAAAGTGGGTCCCACGTTAGTGTTCTCATTGGGTAGGACCACCCCCTCTGAGTGATGTAAAAAATTGGCTTTGACAGTAAGTTTACGTAGTCCTCTAGTAGAGAGGCCCTTATCAACACATATCTATTGCTCAATAAACCAATTTTACATTCTCCTTTCAAGTTACATTGTTTGGGGATTAATGATCTGAGTTCTTGAATCTCCGGCCATCCATATGAAAATTTTCCAAGTATGGCATATTATAGGTTCTCCTTAATTATCATTTGTTCTACTTCCTCCTCCTCCCAAATAACTCTTGGTTCTCCATGCAAATATGTAACAAGTTTTAGCTTTAAAGGTATTGATGGTGTTAACTTCATGATATCTGGGCGTAAGGCTCCCAGAAAATTCAAAGCAGACTGTGGTTGGGGCTGGTTGGTATGCGGCGCAACCTCCCCCAATGGAGGCTGTCCGACCGGCATGGCAGCCATGCCACCGGAAGCTATAGTTGGAGGTTGGCTAAAATATCAGTGTTGCTAGGGTTATTTTTTGGGTGCTAACCTACTAAAGTGTGATAAATAAAAGGAGGTGTAGGACTAGTTGCAAATCCTCCCGTGTAAAGAAATAAAATGGTTATGAAATTGTGTCCTAATTAGTACCATCATTAATTGGATTGATTAAAAAATTCATGGTTGATCCCACTTGCCACCAGGTGATGGAGCAGGACTTTCCTCACTTGATAATGGAGCTCCGACTGGAATGCCAAGATCTTTAAAAGAAAAATAAATAAATTTTTAAAGTCTGTTTCAACTGCCACTAACATTTCTTAATTTTTGAAAATTTTCCCAATAGATTTAATATTTTCTTAAAATATGAAACATTAAATATTTTTATATAGACAGACTTCTCATTCTCTTTTCCTTGATTGAAAATTTTGTTGTCTTTTCCATAATTTAAAACTAAATTGCCGCTTCTGTAATGTCACTTTTGATTTCTGAAGTGATTTTTGAACTATTTTATTCTCGATTTCTAATCTTATCAATATGATATTATTGGGCTCCTTTTGATGAACTCTATCTATTCTTGATAATTGGGGATCATTTTGGTGATTGTGCGATTGATGAAGTGCTTAGAGTTGTTCAAGTGAAGTTTCGGCCTTCGAGGTAGGTTTGATTTTTACTCTTTTAGACTAAGATGATCGAGTAAGTGATTTTTCTTAGGAAGTCAATTGTGAAATTAATTGTAGTATGAGTTTTAGAGGTTGGTAAGTGTTGACCTTCTTGTTTAGTTTGTGTGATGCCTATTGTGATGCTTAGCTTGTCTGGAGGCTTGTGTGATACCTTTAATTGTTTACGGCGTTACGAATTGAATTTAGTGTCTTTAAACCGTTGTAATATATAAATGATTTATTACGACGTAAATAAATGTTTTTGTAAAAAATCGTTTAATACATTTGTGGCAGACAATCTCGAAGTTCAACGAAATCAGTCGAATTCACTTAGAAATCTCAATCGATTATTTCAAATTTTTCATTCCTAATGGAAACAATCGCAAATCAGTCGAATTCACTTCGACAAAGGTTGAAAATCTTTTGAATGATTTAAGAGATTTGTTAGAAAAATGGAGAAATTTAATTTAAAAATGACAAGGTTTAAGTTACTTGAGGATATGGAATAATGAAAAAAATGGTGAGAGAGAGAAATATAAAAGATAGAATTTGGATAAAAAATTTAGAGAGAAAAAAGTAGGTAATGGGGTCTTGTTTTTTTCTTTCACCCGTAATGGAGTCAAAAAGTGGTCCCAAATAAAAAGAAGGAAACTGAATTATATTAGGATACACTTTATTTGCTAAAATATTGACATTTTGACATTTTTAATAATTATTTTAAAGTATAAATATTTTTATTAATTATGTTAGGAATTTGGACTAGTTAGCTAATTTATCCTAGTCTTAGTAGAAGCAAATGGTGTCTTATTCTCATTTAGACCCCTTTAAAGATACTTTTATATTCGAAAAAAAATTGTGTTCTATATTTCTTCTTTATAAAAATTCAAGCCTCTCTCATTCTCCAACTTTAATAATTACCTAAATTATTTTCCTTGAACTTTTTATTTTGTTCTTGCGGCTTGTTTATCAAGAATTAATAAAATTTATTGTAAATTTTTTATTTGACTAACTACAAAACAACATAAATATGTGCTTTTGAAATTAAAAAAAATGACTACATTATTTTCTAACAATTATATATATATATATATATATTTCATGTAGTTCAATTTTATTTTAATCAAACTGAAAATTAGGGGTATAAAAAATGAACCCAAACATAGGTAACCCATCCAACCTGCCCAGAATTTTAAGGGTTGGGCTCAAGATAATTTGAATTGGGTTCAATCTCAACTCATTCATGCCTAACCCGTTTTAAGAGAATCCTCAATTGAGCCAATTCAATCTCCAATTTTAACCCGTTTTAAAACTCTTTACTAAGATACATATATTAAAGGTATGAATTATTATCTATTTAGCATCTTTTATGATTTATCTATCCATTTGTTACTTTTTAAAAAAAAATCTCTAGCGAAAATTCGAATTGTGATTATAAAAGTTAAATATCACTATGTTTAAATTATTGAGATTAATCGAATCAAATTGGGCGGGTCAAGACCCAACCCGTTTTAGCCCATTTGAGCCCAAAGTAAACTTGAGCGGGTCAATACCCAACCCGATTTCTATCTCAACCCATTTTAATATCTCCAATTTCAACTCAACCTGCCCATTTGACACCCCTACTTAAAATATTAATTTATAATTTAAATATCTTAACGTTTATCAAAGAGTGACGTTTTTTTCTAATATTTTGTTCATGTAATATTTAACTACTATTTTATTTAAATTATAATATTTATTGTGTTTATAGATTAATAAAATTTATATATACTTATATTCAAATGTTTAATAACAAACTGTCTTAATCATTCAGGATCTAGAGACAAGATCTTAACCATTCAGATATATATTCAAATCCAGACGTCTTAATCTTAATGAAAACAAACGAGGTCTTAGTTATCTTAATTTATATGATATTGTGAAAATTATGTGTTCGATGAAATACGCTTTAAAATCTTAAGATTGACAAAACTTGAACCCAGAGTGCGACATGGTTAAAAGTTAACACAAATACGTCTTCCTATCAAATTTCAATCAAAATGCAAAGCAACTTTCATAGCAAGACTGGATACATTAAAAATACAAAACAATCCTGAAATAATATAATGTATGTGCTCATGAAAAATTGGAAAATGTATAAAAAATACACTGGCGAAGAAAACAGACGAAATGCATCATGTATGGATGATACGGTTCCTTGAGTTCTCAAAATGAATGAGTTTAAAATAATCACCCCAGCCTACATCCAGGAAGATCGGGTCGTTCCAGTTCACAAAAATGCATCCTTCTCAAGTAGCGTTAGAACTTCATTCTGGTTATTGAGTTTGGCAACATCTATTGGTGTCTTCCCATCTAAGTTTTGAAGTGTACTGCACAGAGAATAAAAATCAAGTAAATACGATAAGAAAAATAAACAAGAAACAAGAGGCAGCAAGGATCATGACATCACGATGCACAAAGAATCAAGACTCACACAGCTGCTCCATTCTCTAACAGCAGTGCTACACACTCCTTTCTTCCGTACCCAGCAGCATAGTGCAGGGCAGTATTCTTATTCTTGTCCAAAGCATCAACCTCTGCCCCAGCTTCAAGAAGTACCTGAGCACACTTCACCTGTATAGCAATACAGAGAAACAGCTTAATACCTAGAAAATAAGCTTAACCTTGGCTAATTTCAATGATACTACTTCCTTAAATGGCATCTAGTCCATCTTTAAACCTCCCACATCAACAATGTGGGGAACATCCTTTGGATTTGGTGATTGATGTTTCGATATTCTCGATGGAAGGTTATTGTTACACACAAAAAAGGAAAGAAGAAATTTAAAATGCCATTCCACCCTGATGGATTGTACAGTAGAAAAGTCTTAAAAGAGCCGATTTTTGAGGAAACGAAATAAATAAATCATAATACCCAGATAATACAAGAAACTTGGACATAAAGAACTGAGCCATAATTAAATTGACAGGATACCTGATCTACAGATAATTCTAAATAAGTTGCTAATTCTTACCATGCCTAGTAAACTGCAAAGAAAATATGAAATCAAAGAGAGGGAGTCGTGGGACTAGATTTTCACGTGTATAAGGCAGCTCCTAATAATAACACTTTAAAATGTACAGTAATTCCAAGAATTATTTTTTTTTACTTGAAGGAAGAATTGTTCCCTCTGGCTGCAAGTTTTGTAGCTTAGCTAAAGCTATTAGAAAGCCAAATACCTTAGAATGCTGAAATAAACAAAACCCTGGATACACCTGTAATTATATTAAGTATGGCAATGGTCGTAAGGAACATTTTAACTATTTTCTTACCTCCCCATATCCACATGCAAAATGCAACGCTGTCCTTCCTTCTGAATCCTCTTCATCTTTATCAGCACCAGAGGCTATCACATTCTTCAAGCCCTTAAAGAGTACAAGTATAAAAAAACAGATCACAACTAAATATCCAATGAACTCACGGTTTAACAGTCTAAAGAAGTTATATTGATATAGAAAGGTGGATCATTCATTACAGCAGCTAAATAAGAGAAAGTTCAAACGACATATCTTCTATTCAGCAATATTCAGTATGTGGACATCAAAGCTCCAGGTATATTCAATTGATCCAAAAATTTGGCCACCAGGATGACTTCAGATTGAGAGAGGGGGGGGGGGGGGGGATTAATGTGAGGTGAGGGGAATTTAATGATAGAACACACCTCCACATCGCCCACACTGGCACACTGGTGTACGACGGATTCATCTTCATCTGCTTTTTCTGTTTCATCTGGCCCAGAAACTTCAGCGGAGGTAGCACCCTCCCCTGCAGCAGCAAAACCCATTGCTTCACCTAGCTTCTTTAAAACATCTTGATCATTCCAATACCTGGAAAAGAAAAAAGAAAATCATACCTCCAGTTATAGAAACAATCAAAGCATAACACAAGAAGTTAAGAACACTACATAGTTAAGATCAAAGACCAAAGTGCAGAGAACATAAAACCTAGTAAGCTAGAGTAATAGGTATATCTATGTATCTAAGGAAGAGAACTGATGTAAACAATATGCGAGAACTTGGAGCTGCAGGAGCGCACATAATATGTTTTAGGGACACCAGAAGTCCAACATGTTTTAAAGCTCAGAAGGGCTGCAAATGAACAATAGCAGAATGAAATAAACTTCGAAGAACAAACATATTGTTGCATGCTCACATCCATTTCTTCTAATCTCACTCATTTTGTTTCTCCAACACAAATATATCAAAAGTAGCAACCAAAACTTACCTGCTCTAGAGAAAACATAAGATGAGATACTTTAACGGGTACTGGCATTGACTAGTTGATACCGTCGGCAGTCATAAAAGATTCATAACATGTTGTGAGCTCCAGTAAAGATACTAATGCCAGTTGATACCGTTGGCACTCATAAAAGATTCATAACATATTGTGAGCTCCAGTAAAGACACTAACTTTAATTTCAAATAATCGTTTATGCTCATTATGAGGACACACCACACTTTTTATAACATCGTGGCCTTAGCTTAATACTCTTAAGTAGAACAACTTATCCTGTAAAATATCATTAGATCATGGTCCATATTCATTTCAAAAGACACACTCGTGACTCGACAAGGAAAAATTGTAGATCTCAATCTGAAATATCAAATATCCCAAGTAGGATAAGTCTCGTAACTTAGCCACTAGTGTCATCTTTGATACGATCCCAAGCCTTATACTTATCACATGTATGTTCTAAACTACATTAGGTTAAGCAAAAGTGAATGCCACTAATAATGTCAAGTGGTAGCACATATAACCTCATCATTGCAGCTGGACCGCCACTTTCAATCTCTTCAAGAATTGGTTTCAGTGATGGATCTTCTTTGATGCGTGTCATTCGTTCTTCAAGTTGGTCTTTCTGTGATGAGTTTGTCAAATTCTCAAGAATGCTAGACATGGATGGATCCTGATACATACAAAAATGACACATCAATAACACAAAGTTGAATCTTTCTGTACTACGAAATCCAGTGCTAATACAACATGAAACTAAAGATACCTGCATTAATGCACTACCAAGTTGTTCAGCCATGGTCATAAATTGAGGATTTTGCATAACCTGTTGCATTGTAGAGAAATATTGTTGGCTATCAAAGTTGGGGATACTATCTTCCACAGCAGCACCCTGAAAGGTCTTCTGAAGCTGCTCAGCCATCTGATTAAACGAAGGATCTTTTGTGATCTGCTCAGCTAGTTCTTTAATACTTGGATCCTACATTAGCCATGTTATTTGAAAATAAAATAAGATACAAGAATTACAAATGAACATGTCAAGAAACCAAGCAGCAGAACATTTATTAATCGAATTCTGATAAATGCATTGTAGGTTATACTATATAAATAAAATTTCACTAATTAGATCGCCAAATATTGATGTCATTGCCACAGGCTTTTTATCTTTTTTTAGAGCAGCAGCAGTGGTGCACAAATTGTTCACACTTTCATGTCTCAAACATTCAACCAAAATAACTATTGGTTAGATTCTATTTTTTTACTTTCCCACCAGCATCTTTTTTTGATAGGATATCCTATTACTTGAGAGAAAGAAACTGAAAAAGATACCATTGATGTTTTTTCTTCACAATGGCCAGCAAGATAGAAATCACTGAGATTAATCTATTATCAAACGTGACAAAGAGAACTCTTATTTTGTATAGTGACAGATATGTACATTTAATAGTCCAGTCATGGCTGAGAAATCAAAGGGATTTTGAAGCCCAGCTCCAGCTGCAGGGGTTTTCCTCGTCTCTCCTGTTTGTGCTTCCATGGAGGCAGACTCAGAAGACTTTTTACTCTCAGAAGACCCAGACTTCTCATCTGGAAAAAGAGAAAATACAAACCATAAAATAATGTTACAACTTTATGCTCTGTTATTCACCATTCTTTTTAAACAAAAATATGGCACAAAGGCAACTTTGTAGATTCAACATGCAATACCATTGCGTATTTTGTAGAAGGTAAAACAAAATGTGAGTCTTAAAAACAGAAAAAATAATAATTCCAGGTGGTGAGAAAACAATGCACAAATCCAGATGACAACTACAAAACAATGATAGGATCCAGATGAAAAATGATGCAATCAAGCTAAAGGAACAAATAATAAAAGCTATGTTGTATCATTAGTGACCTTTTGTTTATCCTGTTTTGTACCGAGGGTCAACTTCTCTACCTTCTCAAGGCAGGGGTAAGGTCTGCATAGACACTACACTTTCCAAATCCCACTTGTGGGATTACATTGGGTTTGTGGTTGTTGTATCTTGATTAAGTTTGCATATGCAAAAATTTACTCCTGGACTCAAGTATCAAACGAACCTAGGAGTTCCTTCGTTCACTAACATGATATGATATACCAATAACCTATGTTGCTCGGACTCTTCAAAAATATCAATGGGTGTGTGTTGGATTCTCTAAAACTAGTGTATTTTTGGAGAATCCGACACGGGTGCGGCATCAAAACGAAGAATCCGCACAACTTAGCCAATAACATAAGGCTGTAATTAGATTTCTTTACAAGTCAATCTGGAATTCAGTTCAATATATCAAATTCCATCATAGAAAAATGACAGAATTACATATCTTCGGGATGAGACATGCTCCCCACTAGGCTGGCCTTTGCTTTGAAAGGTTCAATCAGGCATCAGCCAAGTTCGTCCATGTGCCTTTCGTCAGTTAGCATCAGTACCACAAAAGTTTTCTTGAAATCTACGGAGCAAAATAAACATAATGGTTTAACATGGTTGCTTCTTTACTAGCCGGTTTTGGTCTTACTGCTTTCAACATTAGTACAATTCACCTTGACCAAATTATTTCTTGAAATTCCAAATCATGCAAGTCAGGTCGGACTTTAGAAAACTAATGACATCATCATCTACCTACTTCAAATTACATACTTCATCCCATTAGACCTCTCTTGCCCCAAACACCATTGTACGAACATACCACGTCTACTGATTGGGAAAAGTCTGAAAAAAATGATCTTAATACCCAGCAATTGCTCATAGTGCAACATATTGTATATAGAAAAAAACTTCTCCTTTGAAAATTTTCAAATTGCTCATGAACAACATCATAGATGCATATATAATACTAGACTAAAATATAACAGGGGAGAAGGAGAAGAGTGAAAAGACATACCTTCTTTTGCAGTCAGTACAACTTTCTCTGCCTGAAGAGAGTGAGCATATATGTATTAGCGTTATTGTTAACCAAAAAATGAAAAATGTAAAAGAACGTAAATCAATCCCCCAAAGAAAACAATCCTCAAACCTACCAAAATAGGGTAAAGAAAGCAAAAAAAAAAAAAAAAGGGGGTGTAAAATTCACTGTGTTCAACAATTCAAAAATCCAATATGTTAGAACAATAGCAGATTAATGATGCAGAGTGATAAGATTTGAATCAAACATACGCAGAGAGGATGAATTATGAAAGTAAGTACCTGAGACATGGCTACAGGGAAAGAAATTGAAGTGAAGATGTGGGGTTTCCTTGGCTTCTTTGCTTGAGAGCTGAGGCTTATTAGAAAGACGACAGGCAACTTTGGGTGTACACCAAGAAATAAATGCCAACGGGAAAGGCTAATTTGCACCTTCGCTCCTATTTTGGGCTGGCTTTCATTTTTTTGCGGGAAAATGCATGAGTACCCCCAGCCTATACCCGAAATTTCTGAGACACACCTAATATTTACTAAGGTTCTATTACCCCCGAACTTATTTTATATGTAATATTCTATCCCTTTTCGGCCTACGTGGCACTATCTTGTGGGCCTAGCGCATGTTGACATTTTTTCAAGGATAGTGCCACGTAGGTCGAAAAGGGGTAGAATATTATAGATAAATTAAGTTTGGGGGAGGGGGTAATAGGACCTTAGTAAATGTTAGGTGTGTCTCTGGAATTTCGAGCATAGGCTGGGGGTACTTATGCATTTTCCCTTTTTTTCCCCAAACACAAACAACTTTTTAACTTTATATTGTGCAACATAATATACCCAAATTATATCCCATACTTTTAAAGAATTTATGTCCCGCTAAGTATAAATTAATTTATGAGGATAAATAATTATTTCGCATGACATAAGTTTATATTATCCCATTATTATATCGCACGAATTTTATTTTGCATCCTTAAAGAATTTGTGCTCCGCTAAGTATAAATTCAATTTTTGAACAAAAAATTTATAAACCAGCCTATTTAAAGAAAAAAAAATTAAAATTATCTCATTTAACGGATAAATCATTCAACTAAATAAACAGAAATAAAAGGATTTTCTGTGAGATAAAGGTCTCCAAGAGGTATAGTAATTAAATGAGAAAATAGTCAGATGACCCCTCAATGTATTACTAGATTTCCAATTACACACTTATATTTTACGGGGATCTTATTACCTCCTTGGACTACTTTAAAATAGAATAAGTAGCTCCTTAAGTGTTCAGTTGACACAAAAAAAAGCATTTCACTCTCTTTTAAGGAGAGTGGGTTAAGTATTTTTTCTTTTTCATTGTTTGTTCTTTTTCTATTATTTTCTCTCTCTTTCTCATTATCTATCTATTTTCGGACCTAAATTTTGTCATGATTTGAGTTTGAAGGTTTTTTCCAGCTTTCTATTTTGAAGTTCATCTACTCAGTGACAGAGTCAGGATTTTCAATAAGGGGGTTCAAAATTTATAGAAATAGACACACGAAATAGCCGAAGGGGGTTCGACATCTACTATATATACATAAAATATTATTTAATCATGTATAAATAATATAATTTTCCATCGAAGGGGGTTACCCCTTAATACAATGTGGCTCCGCCCCTGCATCTACTAGTTAATTCTTTTTTTAAACGGATTAATCCTTAATCTAAATCACCCATCAATTTTTTTCTTTTTTAAAAAGGATTTTGTGTCTTTACAAGACAATGCTTTTAATTCTTTGAAAAACACATTTTTTTTTAACTTTTGATTATAAATCCAATCACTTACGTATTAAGGAGGGTTTAGATTGAACTTATTTGTTGTAGAAGACTGAACTGTCATGCTCTGAGCTTAAACCCTGGACGTGACTGACACTCGAAAATCATTGTTGGTTCTCAAGCAAACTCTTGGTCTAGCTGACAACTTAGAGAACGACTAATTCAAGCAAGCATAAGCTTAAAACTGAATAAAATATTTAAAACAATTACTAAATCTCAAATATGTTTGAAAATGCTAAAAAAATATAATTAAAGTTTAGCATAACATCTTAAAACGGAGCACTAAAAGACTCTCTAACTCTGCTTGTCCATGGAGCCCCTACTGCCTAAGATAGGTGTCGGGATAAGACCCACGACACCTCAAAATACTACTACTACTAAGAAATAAAATTGGAGTCCCCCGAAAGCAAAGAGACCTCACTAAAAGCTGACGAATGGATGGTGCGATCTCAACGAAGCACATGTTGATGATCCTGAAAACATGTCATGATGCAAGTCGAATGACATCAGTACATGGAATGTACAATATGTAATTAATAAGGCTAAATGAAACAAATAACTGAACTAAAGGACTGAAAATAACTCAACTAAAGTAAAGCATGAACATAAGGTAAAAATATTTAAGCTTCACAGTAAAAGATGCAATGATAGCAAACACTGAATTATAGATATATACTTTATTTTAATGGAGATTTTCTCTAACTGATGACCATCACTATGACGAGCCTTGTGTTGATACAATGTCTTATCCATGTTACCAGAGCCACTCTATACCTTGTCGGAGTATAGAACGTAACTTTAACATATGGATCCACTAACAAGCCCTCAACGAGGCTGGGTGAAGAGTCGCCTGAATTACGGTACGATGCTATCTACGCTGGCGGCACATGTTATGGAGTTTGAGTTATCTTAACTCTTACATCAAATCGGTGCTCACTACTACTCCCAAAATTATAATGACCCGAAAGGTCAATTCTAGAAATAGTCGCAAGGTTACAATTTTACCCCTATCGATAGTTACCCCGAGTTATTTTGAATTAGTGGAGGAAGTTGGTTTGAAAATTTTAAACTATTTGTTTAGCTATAGTTAATTAATTAGCAAGTAAATTTTAATTAATTAATTAATTTTAATATGTGGTTAATGGACCAAGTCTATAATTTATTTAATACCATATACTACTTGACACATATGTTTTTTTTTTTATTATTTAACGACCCTTGAGGGGGTTAGGGGCTGAGCAGCACCTCCAGGCCTTATCATATATGAAAACAAAAATATACAAGGAGGGAGACATAAACCTTACCTCCAATCCTATGGTGGGTCAAGAATCAACCTACCTACTAAGGTTAGTCGACTCAACCCGATACAATAAGATGTAATAATAAACTAAGCACCTAGAAAGGATTCCTCTCTTAATACAAAGTTACTAATGATACATAAATAAGGGAGACTCTCCCCCAGGGGCGGACCTACAGTGGTTCAAGTGGGTTCATATGAACCCACTTCGTTGAAAAATAACACCGTATATATATGTATATTTAATCAGTTTTTAAAATTTTATATGTATATATTAAATTTTGAACCCAATAACACAAGTCTGAAGCTTAGCCGAGTGGTTGAGGGGGTTCAATTTTCCCAGCCAACTCGGGATCGAATCCCCATTGCCATATTTTAGTTTTAATTCGTTTTTTTGATATATAAAACGTTCACACACAATTTTGTCCTCTATGTAGGTGTAACTTTTGTCCTTTTAGTTACTTAGAAACTATAAAAAGTAGAACAACTTTTTACTTTTACAATTATAAGTCCAATAGTCAACAACTTTTGTCCTTTTTGTTTTTAATTTTTTTTTTTAAAAAAACTCAACTAAAAGGCACTAATCCCTATTATTCTCAATTCTAAAAACCTTTTTGTCTTCTTCTTTGTTGAAATCTTCTTGAACCTCTCTTACTTTTTCCCCCAAAATTTTGAGCATATTTTTTTATTGAAGGAAAAAAACTCTCCCCGTCGCTCAAATCTCGAATCAATAGTCAATATCCATCAAGTATGTTTTTCGCTCTTGATTCTAGTCTTTATATATACATATATGATTATTGTGGTTATTTTTTATTTCTTCAACTAAAAAATCCCTTATCATTCTAAAATCAACAAAAAATTACAAATAATATTAGGTATATTTCTATGTATTCGATTATGAAATTAAGGTTATAATTATTTTGTTTAATATTTTGTTTTTATTTGTTAAATGTTGAATGAAGAGAAATCATTCATAATATTCTTTTATCTTCTTAGTTTATATTGAATCCTAGTTTTTCGTTCATCTTGTTATTTACCGTCTCATTCATAAGTCAATGTAATTTTTTTTCAAATGTATTAACATTGTTTAGTATAGTCAGATATGTATGTTGTTAGCCTCATAAAAATTACAAATAATATTAGGTATATTTTTATATCTTGAACCCACTTCGTGAAAATCTTGGGTCCGCCACTGCTCTCCCCTTACACGAAGAAATGAAACTAACTCTAATCAAATTACTATACTTAGATAAGACATAGTAAATGGACTAGAATGTATCTCATAAAATAAGTCACTGTACTAAATCAGTTAAATGACTATAATAAGTATATTTGGTATACTGTTGGTATATAGAGGATCTTATTTATAGCTTGTTCGTGAGTACTGACTTCCCTTGGCTGCGTGAAAGTAGCTTCAGATATTCAAGGTGGTTGTTTGATCCTTTTCAACTTCGTTCTTCTGAAATTTTGTACTCCCAGTTTCTCCATCATATAGCTACCTTTTACTGCATGGGGCAATTGACGATGAGTGTAGTAATTCTGTACAATATCTTGTTTATGACTATGTTTGGCCAAAAAATCTGTTGTGCTATTAGCCTCCATGTAAATATGAACACATTGAAAAAACACACATTGGTTAGCAAGCAGCTGCAATTCCCGTATGTATCTGTGTATCATCCAAGGAGGATTAGAAACCTGCAAGAACCACTTAGTTAGTAATTCCGAGTCAACTTCTAAAATGATATTAGTGTAACCATGATGTATGCACCAGTTTAATCCATAACAGGTAGGCTGCACTTCAGCTTGATTATTTGTCCCTTCACTAAATGGTAAAGCAAAGGCAACTTGGCACATATGTTGAGATAAGTTAAAGGGGGTTTAACAGTTTTTAGATTATAATTGAGAGAAGTCAAAAAGAAAAACAAGAGAACGCGTTAGAGAGCAGAAAATCGTGGTGCTTCAGGTAATGTTTTTTGCTTAAGAAATATTTTGTTGGTAAATTTGTTGAACTTTAACAATTGGATCATTCCAATTGGTTAGTAAGTAGAGGTTAACAGTAGATATGTATATGTACGACTGCTTGGAGAAAAAAAATAAAAGGAATAAAAACTAATGGATATTGAATTGTGTTTATAAGGTGGAAGTGATAGACTTCTGAAAAGATGTGTGGTTAGATTCGGAATGTTCAGCAATTTGAAGGGGCTAAGTAAAGTGATGACTCAATGATTCTTTTTTAGAATATTTAAATAATGAGGTTTAACAATGATTTGAGGGACTTCATGAACGTGTTATATCTTTTCAGGCTAGTTACCCTAGCATGAAGAATA